AGGTGAGAGAAAGGCTCAGTTACACAATATGTCACAATCACGTGACCAGCCTCTCCTCCAATCACAGGATGCAGGAGCCTACACCCTGCGTTTTATGAATGGGCCATAAAATACAAGCATTGGAGTACACACTGTGACGTCCATTGGAGTAACAGGATCTACTCTTTGCTGCCAAGTGGCCTCCTATGTGACTAATCTACAACGACTTGAAGCCAACACCTCAGAAAGCCATTTGTCCCAACTAATTGCTGCTCTCAGAGATGAATTGCCATCTACTGTCATAGCGCGACTGAGCGCCAAGGAATCGCCTACGCGCTCTTGCCCTCAATAAGTAGCTTTGGGTGGGAGAGCTCTTTCATACAACATGTAGTTGGCTGGTCAGTGTCCGGCTCTTGGCAGTGTAACAATCCCACAAGGTGCTGAATCTTGCAGAGTTGGGTTGAGCAGACTCTTCAAGGGTTTGCTTAGGCAAAAAATAAAATGCAAATGCATTGCTAAGCTCTAGCGGGGAGGGGGGGGGGGGCGTTTCTGCAGCTCTCTATACCTGTCAATCACTGTAGAAAGAAGGTTGAGGAGTCAGACACACAATGTATAGAGACAGAAGTAATGCAGAGGTCAGCCCATAGTATGTAAAGAGGAGGGGAGTACCCCAGTCTTGGTTTGCCATCATTCTGGGTGATCTGCTAAATGCAGCATATAAAAGCCGGTAGGAATCATATTTAATACGCTATGCCATTATGCTGGAACTCATCTTCGGATAAAAGCACAAGTTCAAAATGGTCTATTCTGCCTAACGCAAACCCTCTAACAATCAGCAGACAGACACTATCATTACCTGGAATGTTATGTACATAGTATATGCATTAGTGTTTATAGACCCTACTGCAGCCTTTCTCAACCAGGATTCCATGGAACCCCAGATTTCCTCCATAGGTGTCTAGGAGTTCCTTGAGCTTTGGTGGATTGACCTCCCACATGATGGTGCCAATGTTATTGTGCAGAAATGATTGCATTGCACCAGTGGAGCCGATCCGCTTGTCTCCAAGTCACCACTAACATTCATGTTCTTTATAGCTGATGGATAAGAGATGGATTCTACCACTGACCTTCAATGTAAGGGGCATTCTTGGCTCTGACCGCCAACGTAAAAAGGGAGGTATGTCTCCATAGGCCAGCCATGTAAGGGGGCACTACAGAGACCACCAATATAAAGGAGGCATGTCTCCATAGACCACCCATGTAAGGGGGCACTACAGAGACCACCAATATAAAGGAGGCATGTCTCCATAGACCACCCATGTAAGGGGGCACTACAGAGACCACCAATATAAAGGAGGCATGTCTCCATAGACCACCCATGTAAGGGGGCACTACAGAGACCACCAATATAAAAGGAGGCATGTCTCCATAGACCACCCATGTATGGGGGCACTACAGAGACCACCAATATAAAGGAGGCATGTCTCCATAGACCACCCATGTATGGGGGCACTACAGAGACCACCAATATAAAGGAGGCATGTCTCCATAGACCACCCATGTAAGGGGGCACTACAGAGACCACCAATATAAAGGAGGCATGTCTCCATAGGCCAGCCATGTATGGGGGCAGTGACCACCAATATAAAAAGGAGGCATGTCTCCATAGACCACCCATGTAAGGGGGCACAACAGTAACCACCAATATAAAGGAGGCATGTCTCTATAGGCCAGCCATGCATGGGGGCACTACAGTGACAACTAATATAAAGGAGGCATGTCTCCATAGGCCACCCATGTAAGGGGGCACTGCAGTGACCACCAATATAAAGGAGGCATGTCTGCATAGACCACCCATGTATGGGGGCACTGCAGTGACCACCAATATAAAAGGAGGCATGTCTCCATAGACCACCCATGTAAGGGGGCACTACAGTGACCACTAATATAAAGGAGGCATGTCTCCATAGGCCACCCATGTATGGGGGCACTACAGTGACCACCAATATAAAGGAGGCATGCCTCCATAGGCCAGCCATGTAAGGGGGCACTACAGAGACCACCAATATAAAGGAGGCATGTCTCTATAGTCCAGCCATGCATGGGGGCACTACAGTGACCACTAATATAAAAGGAGGCATGTCTCCATAGACCACCCATGTAAGGGGGCACTACAGTGACCACTAATATAAAAGGAGGCATGTCTCCATAGACCACCCATGTAAGGGGGCACTACAGTGACCACTAATATAAAAGGAGGCATGTCTCCATAGACCACCCATGTAAGGGGGCACTACAGTGACCACTAATATAAAAGGAGGCATGTCTCCATAGACCACCCATGTAAGGGGGCACTACAGTGACCACTAATATAAAAGGAGGCATGTCTCCATAGACCACCCATGTAAGGGGGCACTACAGTGACCACTAATATAAAAGGAGGCATGTCTCCATAGACCACCCATGTAAGGGGGCACTACAGTGACCACTAATATAAAAGGAGGCATGTCTCCATAGACCACCCATGTAAGGGGGCACTACAGTGACCACTAATATAAAAGGAGGCATGTCTCCATAGACCACCCATGTAAGGGGGCACTACAGTGACCACTAATATAAAAGGAGGCATGTCTCCATAGACCACCCATGTAAGGGGGCACTACAGTGACCACTAATATAAAAGGAGGCATGTCTCCATAGGTCACCCATGTAAGGGAGCACAACAGTGACCACCAATATAAAGGAGGCATGTCTCTATAGCCCACCCATGTAAGGGAGCACAACAGTGACCACCAATATAAAAGGAGGCATGTCTCCATAGACCACCCATGCATGGGGGGCACTGCAGTGACCACCTACATATGTAAAGAGGCATGTCTCCATAGACCACCCCGGTAAGGAAACACAACACTGACCACCTATGTAAGAGAACCTGTCTTCATTTCTTTTCTGCCCAATCTTATTATGATTTATTTTAATTTGGGGAATATTACTGTAAATCATGTCAACATCCCTCTGTTCTATAATGCCTTATAGAGCATGGGGATTGTGTGCCACATTCTATATTCATTTATTATTACATTCATCTACATCATGCTAAAAGTACCCCGAGCTTTAGATACAATAACTTTTAGCAGGAGTTCTCAGAGACCTGGAAATTATTTCAGGGGTTCCTTTGGGATAAATAGGTTGAGAAAGTTGACCTACTACATAAAATACTGCAGATCAGGACTTCAGATACAAAGGTGCTCCAATAGGTTTGTAATGTGTGCAGTCTGAACAGAACAACCACATGGTGTACTCCTACATCAAAGCATAAAGTGCAGCCTTTAAAGAAGAACTCCAGCCAAAACCTTTTCCCCTTGTAGAGTGTGGAAGGGTTAGAACCTGTTCGGTTTTTATTGTCCTTTGTCTCCCCGCTGGGTAGATTTCTCACCAGCTCCGGTCTCGTAGACATGACAGGAAGTAAGAGTAGGTCTCCCAAAAGCAAGGGAAGGCAACCTTGGCTCTCCAGCTGCTCTGGAAGTACAAGTCCCATGAGGCTTTGCAAGACTGACAGCCACAGGCATGACTCCCAGATGCACGATTGGATTTGTAGTTTCACCACAGCTGGAGTGCCATAGTTGCCTACCCCTGCCCAGAAGCAAGGGAAAATCCCACCTTTGACATTCATCCACCGATGCCTTCATGGCAAGCTTTGTCTACTCCGGTTCCAGCAAAGGATCAAATATTTTGCATTTACAGTCACTTTCTGTCATCAGCAGCACAAAAGGGGGAATTGAATCTCCCCAGGTAGGATATACACAGGAATAAGGACCTTGGGAAAGTGGACAGATAGCACTGGACCCCACCAGGGGATGTCCTACTGGTATTGCTCCAATTGAATGGTGTTGGTACAGGGTGTCTGCTGACCAGGTTAGCTAGTACAAGCTTTTACACCCCACAGGATTCCCCCAGTTTCCTTGGTTTGTAGTGTAGAATCTAAGATTGATGCCCCACATAGTAGATTGATAGTCCAGATACAAGTTCATTCCATTGTAGGGTCCAACACGTTTGGTGGGTTTGAAAATACCTTCTTCAGCATGCCCAGAAGAGGGAAACAATGGATGGACTGAATTGTGGGTAATATATTAACGGTATTATCAGGGCCATAGCTACAGATCACAGGGGCCCATAGAAAAACTGATGTGGGGGGCCCCTCCTGATGACCTCTCTATGAGCTGTCAGTAACAATACCAAGATCCCAAAGACTCCTCTTGTGCATCTGAATTTGTCTCTACGATGTAGATTTTACATGGGATTAGAGTTGTCATCAGTTGCAACCCGTACTGATACAGTACTGTATTATCTTATGTTTAATTTGTCTCAACATCCTGATAGGGCCCCCTTCCACCCCCCAGGCCCCATAGCAGCCACCTGTGCTGTTATGGCTATAGTTACGCCACTGGGTATTATTACCAGATCAATATCAAGCACAGATCTCATCAGAAGCTGGTTTAGCTGCTGGTGAGATCTGTGCACCCTCAATTCAGCCCATCCATTGGCCGTTTTGGATCCCCTAAACGTGTTGGCTTTCCTTTTTTGATTTCGTTTGGAACCCTACACTGGAATACAATTGTATCTGGACCATCTGCGGTGTGGCGCTTCAATCCTAGATCTGCTGTTCAGTAATAAGGACTTGATGGAGGTTCTAACCCATTAAGACCCTACCTATAACTTGGAAAAAGTCACAGCTGGAATTCTACTTTAACTCTCCATATCAATAGGAGCCAATTTGCCAGCTGAGCCAGTCACGGAGTGGAACGCAGCTGGTCAGTGACAGTGTCAAGAGAATTCATCCCACAGACTATATAGATTCAGAGGCAAAACAGCTCCCTCTGCTGGCAGTAGGCATTTGCTGGACCGTAAAATGCACCCACCAATGAAATTAAAACCAATTAAAAAAAAAAAATATACAAGTCAATACAAAAATATTGCCCCCAGAAGTGTTAGACGTGAATACGCACATGAAAAAGTGAGCGTCCGTGAATACTGTTCTTGTTTATGAAACCTGAATACCACCGGTAAAGTCTCTCATACCTGCCTGGCTGTAGAGTTAAAATTGGCTTCCGTTTCTTAATATTTGGTAAAAACACGAGAAAAAAAAAAAAATGTATCCTAAAAATAATCCTGAGTGTTGGGGAGCAGCGAGCCCTGCCCTCGTCATATCATGGCAATCCTCTCGGGATTACAGTTGAGGTGGGTGGAGGTGCTGCTGCTTCCTGGAGATTTGCAACTGCGAGCCGAGGAGCTCTGCAGAGCGGCCATGATGGTGTCGCTGGAGACCGAGCCAAACTCGTAACAAAAGGTTCCGTAGAAGACCAAGATGTCCAACACGAAGATCCACTCGCAGATTGCAGCCAAGTGCTGAAGGAGGGAGCTTTCGTGGATGAAAAAGACCCCACCTGGGCACAACGTTAAGGAAAGTAGGCTGGACGATTACTCAGGACTGGAACCGATTTATTTCATTTTGCGGGGTCAGGGGTGGCGAGAGTTTAAAGAGAACCTGTAATGAGCATTGCCAAGCTGAACTCGAGCCTTACCTTTTTTTCCCCCCACATTTGCAACAAGTCCTCTCCTGTGCTGATTATTCTCAATTCCACATTATAACTCTCTGGAGCTGCAGCAGCTAACGCCAGTCCACCTTTATTTCCTTTGTGAACTTCAATAATCATCAACCCCGTCTGCTCCTGATCTCTGCTGATGTTGCTTCCTCCCCATTAGCTTTCTCTGCCATGCTCCCAAGCATTATATAAAAGAACACATCCCCAGCACCCCTTTAGACGTGCCTGCTCAAGCACCAGATCAGCGAAATGCGTAGCTAAAAGTCTGAAGCACCCAGTGGCCAGCAGGGAGTCTAGGGGGATCCTGGGGTGTTGCAAGGGTTAAACGCTTAAACTCCCGGGGCAGGATAAAACTTTAAAGGAGAACTATTGGGTCAGGTCTTTTCTCCATAGTTCTCTTAAGGGTAACGGGAGAACACAAACTAGCGTTCTCCCGTGACCCAAAGATCAGTATACCGTGAGCTACTGAGACGCCGCAGCCGGGACGGATCCCGACAATACTGTCCGGATCCACCCAGCTGCGGGATTGACAGCTGGCTCTGCCTATTCAGAGGCAGAGCCAGCTGTGCCCGCCCCCTCCCCCGTCCGTTTCGGCAGTCAGTGCTGGAGGATCGGAGAGGGGAATCCGTGCAGGAAGCCGTGAGTGATGGGATAGATCGAGAAATGAGCGAGCGACGGTATTTGTTCGCTCACTTCCCGATGTACTGAGCCGACCTGCGACAGTTTAATTGTCACAGGTTGGCTCAGATTATGAGGCTGAGTGAAAATCACTCGCCTCATAATTCTCCTTTAAAAACGGACACTGCAAGGGTTAAGGTGAATTAAACTCAGGAGTAAATTTTAAAAATACATTCAAGTCCCTTAACTTTTAACAATACTGGATCTTATTTGTGTATCACTCGGCTGTAGAGCCTCAAATCATCTCTGAATTGGTGCTGACACTGTCCTTCCTTCTGGAGGGGGGCTACTTTTGTTCCTCATGGTCCCTGTGTGTGATGTAGTCACCGCTCCAAGCTCCCTCTTGTGATGGACTACAATACCAATACAAAATAGTAAACTAAACATGAGATTGTAGTCCATCACAGGAGTGAGCTTGGAGCGGTGACTACTCTACAACACACACAGGGACCATGGGGAACAAAAGTACCCCCCCTCCAGAAGGAAGGACAGTGTCAGCACCAATTCAGAGATGATTTGAGGATCTACAGTAACATGAACAGCAATGATTTCCAAATTACACAAAATATTTTTCACTATCAACATCCTTTCCTGAAAAGAAAAAAAAAGACATTGAACTGCGTGCCATCCGGTTTAGCCACACCATTCCCTTGTAGATAGGCACAGCTACGCACCCTCCCATGCTGCCACACGTCATTGTCTTGAACACATATAGTCAGTACTGAGGATTCTGCAGTCGGCCTGTCTAAGCCAAACAGAACATTTTCAGTCTTCATCAGGGGTAAGAAAACTCCGGCTCTCCAGCTGTGTCACAACTACAAATCCCATTAAGCATTGCAAGACCGACAGCCACTGGGATGAGTTCCAGAGGGATGATTGGATTTGCGGTTTCACCACAGCGGAAGGGCTAGAGTTTGCCTACCCCACCTCCATTTTCCTCACGCATTGTTTCCATACAAACCGAGACACTATTTCTATTGTCAAAGGATACTGAGGACAAGGGATGCTAAGGCCACAATGGTCAGGCTTACTCGCAGGTGTCCCACCCAATAGTCCAGAGTGCTAGTGGCAAGATGGTAGGTAAGGATGCAATGTAGGCATACAAACAGCAAACCAGCTGGGAATGCCACTCCTGCTCCGATATAATGTAGAGACTTGGCGTAATCCACCTGCCAAAGAAACACACAACAGTGACTTAAGACGAGGTTAATTTACACCAACACAGCATAGGGGGACTGGAATATATATTCACAACGATCACACGTGGAGGGGTCAGGGTTACAGGACCACCAAACGCACCACACACAGTTACTGACACAACACAAATACTAGACAAAGTACGAATAGCATGGGGTCCTTACCTGGAAGTTTCCCACCATGACGAGTCCTGCCGCGTTGGTGCAACCGGAGATCAGGGCCACGGTGTTCAGCCAGGAGCTGTGGCTGAGCTCGATGACCTGACTGTATCTCAGCAAACAGATCATCACCACTGAGAGAGAGGAAAGTCAGGGAGGAGGGAAGGACACAGGGCTGAGAGGGGCAGGGCATGGAGAAGTCAAATGTCTGGGTGAAATGATGGAATGGGAAGGTTGTGAGAATGGTGGTAGGTGGAAGGACAGGGAAACGAGGTCAGTGAAGGTGGCCAGGAAGAATGTCTACGGAAAGTTTGGACAGGAAAAGATACACAGGGGTTTTATCGTGGGGACACTCACCCATAAAAGCACCGACATTTCCAATCAGACTGAAGAGGCAGCTCTCCGGCGGGTACGTCCCACACTTACTGATAAGACAGGATATAAAAAGAATGTCATCACCATGTACGCAGTGAAGTGAAGAGCGCCAGGTACATCATCATCCACAATGCATTTCTAGCTTTTGGGTAAACTGGAGCAGGGCGCACTGCAGTCCAGGAATCCAACAAGAAGACTCACACCTACCCTCAGCATGGCTGTCACAGGTTTAGCTTGGCTTTTCAGCTGAGCTATTTGTGTTACCCATGCGTGAAAACACCATAAACCCCTGCAAGCGTTACTGTGCATGGCTTTCCCGCTACACTGTCTGACCAGTCTATGCTTTATAGGGTTTTTTTTTGCCTTCCCCTGGATCAACTGTGGGTAACTATGGGCATAGGGTTCTGTTTATTGGATGTTTTTCTCTCCTCTATAGGCTGAACTCGATGGACTTGTGTGTGTTTTTTCATCCTGACCAACTATGTAACTATGAAAATTATCTATATACCTTTTCTATATACTATGAGATCCCGTTAATGGACGCAAGATACAGTATTTATGTGCAGTACTCCATCTAGTAGATATGTTGGGATATATGCCAGGGACACGGGAATCCCAGATACAAAAAATAAAAAAGGGAAATTCCACCTTTTAGGAAAAAATAAATAAAAATTACACTTTTTATACAAGAAAAAAAAAAAAATGAGCATTTATCATTGTTTGCACTGGAGCCAGTAAAGCATTGCAACCGCAATCAGCGGATCACAAGTGCAATGCGCTGGCCGCCTCGGCCACCGATGTCTGTAGTGCGGTACAAACATATAGGAACATGGACAGGAGGAAGAATACATGGGCTACATGTGCTGTGACGTCAGAACTACAAGTCCCTCTGCTCCAGTGAATGATGGAAATTGTAGTTATCCTTTGACAGGATCTGTAAATGGGGAAACTACAATTCTCCATTTGGAGCCACGCAAAAGTTAAAAGAAGAACCCCACGAGTCAGGTAAGTGGGGCAGGAGGTGGGAGGCTGTCATTTGACCATGTTTCAAGTCACACCCTGAATATGTCTGTAACATGGAACATGGTTAGAAAGGTACATTTAGCCTTTAAAGCTCTGCCAGGGGTGGGAGGTGTTGTGGAAATTTTATTAGGATGTGTTTTTTAGTGTATTGTAATATTATGTGCAATGCATGGATTTATTGGCTTGCGTGGATGCATTTGTTTTGAACGCAGTATATGAAAGGAACGTGCGTTTGTTGTCTCTTGTGCGCCTGATCAACCGCTGGAGATAATATGACGTTGTCCCTGTAAATAGGCACGCATGAGAATCATAGTAACATTATTGGGCATTGCTCACTGAGCAATGCTGGATAAAGTTCACTCCGGTGGTAATAGATTATTGTATACATGTGTTTTGTTAGCTGGCTATGTTGAAGTGATGATGGTTTCCTGTTCACTTCCTGTCTCGCCGTTTGAGACATCACTTCCTGTTGGGGAGCTATAAAAATAAACAAATACCTGTGCTGAGGGTCTCTAAGAATGGAACTAGCAAGAAAGCAACACCTGTCTCCTGTGTCCTAACTCTACAGGGGTACTTCCAGTCCTTGCACAAAAGAGCGCAGTACAACTGTGCTTTTAAGCACAAGGGAAATTCTTTGTGTTTGACATACTTTGGCGCAGTTTAGTGCGGCATGGATTTGTGCGTTGAACCAAGCGAGTTTCCATAACAGAGGAGGAGATCTTCCTAATGACAACAGTGAAGATTTAGCAAAGGAATGAACCCCACTGTGCTCCATCCAAATAGAACCTATTTCTCCTTTAAAATTCAACTGTCTGTATATAGGGTGATCATATTGAGGCCTAATTCGAGTTTTCCCAGCCACACAATATTAAAAAGGTCTATCCAGAAGAAGATTTCAATATAGTAACTTTCTCTGTAGGGGAAAAGGACATCAGTGAATAACACAGGAAACCTTCTGAGAGAAACACAGAGGCCATCATGGCTGACTTCTCATTCCAGAAGGTTCCTTGGCTGTCATACTGACCCTCCTGCTTCATTAGTCTGAGCAACTAACCCAGACAAGGCGTTCTGACTTTACTGTGATTTTTTCCTTTATGCAGTTTGTTCCAGGTAGTGACTAAGAGTCAGTAACTCAACCCCAGCAGCTCAGTAAGGTTGCATCGGTATGTGGTGGAAGCTTCAAGTGACATCTGAACAGATATTTAAATCTTAATGATAGGAAGGGCAGATGATCCCTCCTCAGTGGGATTGGTGAGGGATACCTAAGGGAGACTTTCTGCAAAGGTGCCGAGAGTAAATCACCTGATGAGCGGGACATCCTCCAGAGTGCAGCAAGATTTCGGCGTCCCCTGCTTGGCAGTGTCATCGGAGCACGTCACGTTGTATATCCTGCAAAAAAAAATGGTTCAGACTCAATAGTAAAAATACATATAGCAAAGTTTTATAAGTTGCATATTAAACCTTACAAATCAGGAAAATGTTTAGCAAGACAACAGACAGTGGTATCAGAGACAAGTGTATAATAAAGAAAGAGTAGAGTCTTGCACTGTGTCAGCCATCCATTATTGCAGAACGTTTGGTGTTGAAGTAATCTCTTTTATTGGCCAGCTTAAAGGAGAACTATGAGATGAGTGATTTCCACTCACCTCATAGTTCTAGCCGACCTGTGACAATGAGACTGTCACAGGTCGGCTCAGTAGATCGGGAAGTGAGCGAACACATACCGGCGCTCGCTCACCTCTCGATCCTGTCACGGGGGGCTGGATTCCCCCCTCCCCGCTCCGATCCGCCAGCGCTGACTGGCAGAACGGACGGGGGAGGGTACAGCTGGCTCTGCCTCTAGATTGGCAGAGCCAGCTGTCAGTCACGCAGCTGGGCGGTTCCCGGCACAATTGTCAGCAGCTCGCAGTATACTGAGCCTAGGGTGACGGGAGGACACTAGTTTGTGTCCTCCTGTTACCCTAAGGAGTACTATGGGGAAAAGCTTTAACCCCATAGTTCTCCTTTACGTTTTAAAGATGCAAGCTTTCCAGGTGCCTTAGATCCCTTCTTCAGGCTTTCTACAATTGTATACATTGTGAAATGCTCTGGGTGTTTACAGTGGTTCTACTCGTCCAACTATCCAGACGGCTGCTGTAATGATGCAAGCAGATATTGTGGAGACGCTTTTGAACTAGAACTCAATATCTGAACAATGTAACATTATCATTGCTTGCTGGAAGCAAAGCATAATGGGATATGTAGCCTTGAGAAATAAAGATTGGATCATATCACGCACCAGAAAAAAAGATGCAGAGTACACTGGGGATCCAGGAAGTTGGCAACACCTGCTACATAAAAGGGATTTTCTCATGTATTATTATTATACAGGATTTATATGGCGCCAACAGTTTGCGCAGCGCTTTACAATATAAGGAAGACATTACAGACAAGATGGTAAGGAGGGCCCTGCCCCTGAGGGCTTACAATCTAAAAGGGAGGGGCATGTGATACATGAGGAGGGAGCTGTGTGGGGATGAATTGTTTTGAGAGCGTGATGGTTGATCGTAGGGATGCCCCGATACCGGTGCAAGCATTGGAATCGGGCCCGATACAAGGCATTTTGACAAGTACTTGTACTTGTCAAAATGCCCCGATGCCTAGCGCCGAAGCTTACGCTGTTTTTTTTTCCTTCTTACTTACCTCGCCGAGCGTCGCGTCACTGCTGCTCCGGTGGGCGGAGCTCCAAGCGGGGTCATCTGGCAGTCTCCGTCACCCCTGTCACGGCAGAGAGCCGTGACAGGATCGAGAGGTGAGCGAACGCAGGTATGTGTTCGCTCACCTCCCTATCTACTGAGCCGACCTGTGACAGTCTCATTGTCACAGGTCGGCTAGAACTATGAGGTGAGTGGAAAGCACTCACCTCATGGTTCTCCTTTAAGCTGGCCATACACTGTATGATTTTCATTCGGAAATCTTTCCAAAGAGTATGGAACAGTTGATGGTACATCACCAATTATCCTTTTTGATATTGTGACCAAAGTTTTTTGATTTGTCAGGTTGGAAAATGTTTCTCTGACCGAACGAAAAATCAATGAATCAGCGGGGGTTTTCATTCGTCAAAAATCGTAGCAAGAACACAGCACATGCGCAACAGGAAATTATTCCCGTCGTTCGTCAAACATTGGCTGGTTAGTATGGCTAAGGAACGATTTTCGAAACCCGCATTTGACTGTGCCTAATTGGGTATTCGAGCTATAATGGAACGAGGGATCGCGGCAGAAACAAAAATTTCCAGCAGGGATGTCCAAACTGCGGCCCTCCAGCTGTGGTGGAACTACAAATCCCATGAGGCTTTGCAAGATTCTCACAGCCACAGATATGACTCCCGCAGAGAGATGCATCATGGGATTTGTAGTTTCACCACAGCTGGAGGGCCGCAGTTTGGACATCCCTGTACTATAGTATTGCCACCTTTAGTCACGCACGGCTCGAATTTAGGCCAATTCCTGCTTAATCTGCTGAAATTTGAGCCGTGGGTCCAATCAGATGCAGTCACGGTTTGGATATCCAGCCAGCTGCAGGCTGTCAGAATACAATAGCCTGCAGGAGTTTGCTCCATCCACTCTGTTTCCCATGGATCGGGGAATCGAGCGATTCTCTCATTCAGTGCACAGAGCTAAACAAGAGAAATCTGCATGTGTACAGCTAGCCTAAGTTACAGAATAACTCTGAGCAAACAAAAACAAACAAACAATAACCTACCCCCCCCGTCACGGCAAGGGTTAATTGCTGGTTTGTCTAGAGGACTCAAATAAAGCAGATATACTCCCCTGATCCTGCTGGCTCCCTCAGGGCTGCTAGACCAGTCCCCGCAGCTACCTCTTCCCTGGGTTTTAGCAATCTATGGACCGCTGATGCCATCACATCTTATGCAGGTCCGCTGACCTGCACAGGACGTGAGGACACCACGGAACATTCCATAGCTGGGGCGTACAGGAAGAGAGGTGAGCGCTGGCCACCACAGGACTGAGGATCCGGCGAGTAGATTTTCTTTTTTGAGCCCGCTAGACAAATAACAGCACTTAACCCTTGCTGTGCAGGAAGTAACCCCAAGTGCAAGGGTACGTTTTTTCCCTTTACCCAGAGTTCATCCAATAATGATGACCCAAAACATCTGGACAGATACACAGGTATTACATAACACATTCACGCTGAGACAGTTGCACATGCATTGCCGCAAGAAGAATAAAGAAGGATGAGCAGATTATATATACCAATTTTCCACAGGACAAACATGATGGTTCATCACAGCCATGGCGTACCTGGAAGGGAACAAGATAAAGAGTTAACAAGCTGCCATTCACAGAACCCCACAACACTTTCCACACCCAGACTGGAACTGTCACCGCTAATCCTGTACTGACCAGTAATATCCCGCCGCCCAGGCTGCTTACCTCCTGTGCCAGGACCAAACGTCTGCACTAGGACAGGGTGCTGGGATCTCCTTTAACCACCAGAAGGCCCTACACAGAGTGTATGTGACCCTAAAAAAACGTTATGACTAGGGACGCACCCATAAAGTTTTTTCAGTATTGAGTACCGGTTTATTTTTTCCCGGTACTCACCGATACCCAATACTGATACCGGAAGTCTCATTAAGGAAGCCGGGCACTTGTAAAGACTCGCCACATGGCTTCCTGATTAGCAGGGAAGCCGTCTCCATGCTTCTCGTCACTAGATGACGAGAAAGCATGGAGCCGGGTTTTTAGCCAATCAGGAAGCCGGGCGCCGTGTAATGACGCGGCGCCCAGCTTCCTGCTCTCTCGTCACGAGGTGACAAGGGAGCAGGAAGCCGGCTTCCCGGGCCAGAGAGTCGGGCGTTGGGTCATTACACGGCGCCCGGCTTCCTGATTGGCCAGCTTCCTAACCAATCAGGAAACCGGGCAGCGAGTCATTACACACTGACCGGCTTCCTGATTGGCCGGGAAGCCAGCTCCATGCTCCCTCGTCACAAATTACGAGGAAGCATTGAGCCGGATTCCCGGCCAATCAGGCAGCGTGTAATGACTCACTGCCCGGCTTCCTGATATCGGAAGCTCAGGTATCGGAGCATTTGGGCCAGTACGAGTACTCACCCAAATACTCGGCATCGGCACCGATACTAGCATCAGTGGATCCCTAGTGATTACATAAATATAAATCTGTGATTAAATGTTATGTAAGCTAATACTGCCTACTTTTCTATTTAACCTCTTCAGTCCCTCCTAAATACCTGGTGATCCTGCCAGTCCACCGTCTCTATTTTACACTCTGACCATGGCCGGCATAGAAGTAGATCAGTGTGGGCAGTTTGCAGATCCCGGCTTCCCTATTTTATTTAGATACAGGACAGTGTGCTGATGCATGCCGTGCCTGTATCTCCCATGGTCAGACTAGTGGCACCCGCCAGGCCTTGCTTTCTTGATTGACAGCGGCTCTGTGTTGCGATATATCTTAGTGGACTTTTTCAGACACACATAGATTTGCAATAGAGACGGAGGTTTTGTTTGTTTGTTGATAGAAATCTGGGTTCATACAATGGAAGGTGCCACCTAAACAAACCAAACTGTTTTTTTCACAATGGTGTAGCTTGTCCTGTATTGATTAGTATAACAATGGGATGGTGATCGTAAATAGTCACACCTAGCCTGGTCAAGACTCAAATCTTGACTACTGATGGCAATTTATGGTACAACGCTGCCACCTAGAGGTGGGTATGTGAAATGCATTGTATTTTAGAGAAAGGTGAAAGGGGGCGGCGCTTCCAAAGTGTGTGGCCAGTTTCTCTCAATAAAAAGCCAGTAGCTGAAAGATAACGGAGCACTTCACAAGACCAGGGCTTCACAGGAAGGGACAGTACGAGGGCGCTTCACAAGACGAGAGAACTTGCTTCAAGACCAGGACATACTGTACAAAGGATTTAGCAGAGACCGCAATGAGAAACCATTTTTCCTAGGCCAAGTCCTGCTCATCACGGAATTTGTGGAGCCTGCAGCCTAAAGCTAAGTACATTTTCAGTGTTTCCCCTCCTAGAAATCATACATGTACTAGAAGATAGTGTAGTGGGTGCATGTTAGTGTAGTTTGTTTGTAGCAGCCTGTCTTGTTGATGTATTTGTTTGCTTTTCCTGTAACTAAGTTTGTACACACAGCATTTTCGCCAAGTAAAGTACTTTTAATGCTACTGGGTCAGTTTCCTTGAAGTTTACTGCAAGAACAGACAACAAATAGAAATGAAAGTTTTGCCAAGCTTACAGCTGGGCTCATCCTTGGGATAAGCTTGACGTCTCTGGGATTTGTAGTCCAGAGCATTACAGGCTCCCAGGAGGAGAAAGCTGGTTGGCTGACCAGTGAAACGTCTTCAAGAAAAACACAGCAAGTCCAGTTGCCTTGACTTATTTTTTACAGATACCCCAGAAGGAGGCTCGCTGAACAAACATCAGCTGCACCTAGAAGGACTATGCTCTTCAATAACGGCTTCTGCATGTACCTGATCGTGCAACTTACGACCCTAAGCCGATACAACAGGTTCGGTACGTCGTCGGGCTACTCACACAATCCATATCCCGGGGATGGAGAATGCAGTCAGGCTGATGGGAAGGACAATCCAGCCAGTCATTAGTAAGGAAGGTCCGGGGGTCAAGGGAGGGGGATGAGCAGGCTGTACAGGAAACTCCACGGCAAACCATCAGCAGACACTACCAGCCAGAACAAAGGGCATTTCACTGACAACCTGTTGGGTGGCGATGGAGAAATAACGAATGACAGGAATTAATGATGGACAGAACGATCCATAACTGGATCCACCACACTCGGAAAATATTGACTTCTCTTTAATGCTGCGAGTGAGAGTGAAAGACGATATCAAGGCAACTTTGGCACTCCAGCTGTGGTGAAACTTCAAGTCCCATCATGCACCTGCCTCTGGGGGTCATGCCTTTGGCTGTCAGAGTCTTGCAATGCCTCATGGGATTTGTAGTTCCACAACAGCTGGAGTGCCGAGGTTGCCTACCTCTGATCCAAGTCTGTTCTTAATCTGGACTGAAGCTAGCACCAAAACAGCTAAATACACAGATATCACACACACGCGTCTACTTCTTTAGCTGACAAAGGATTTGCAATTCTGTTCAGCAAGTCCTGCAATTTACACTCATCTGTCAAACTGCAGGAATCCGTTCAATGTAAGAAAAGCTCAAAGGGATAGTTTATCTTTACAGTCAGTGTTGCAGTGCAGTCAGGGGGCCCCCAGCAGGGATCACAGTGCAATGTAGAGGAATTTGTGTTCCTTTCAATGACATACCTGGAGCATTCGGGGTGATTGGTGCCGTCCTTCAAGGAGGGATGGATTGTACATGGAGAGCCC